TACTTTCTGGCTCTGTCTAGAGGCTGCTCACGTCCTTTTGAAAAGTTCGAAGAGCCTGGTTGTCGGTTGTTCTTTGATAAAATAACTTCTCATTTAAATATTAATTCATGCAAAGGAAACAAAAACTCATACCTATGTAAGTATTAATGAAAACCTACAGGTTATCATCCCCTCTACAAACGACTTTGATTTTTTTTTTTTTAAGCTTCTGCCTCAAGTCTGGGAGTTGCCTAGGGAAAAAAAGGCACAGGAAGGAGACTCAAATTTGAAATCCGAAATTACTTTCTTCATTTCTTAATTGTCTGTATTTGAACTTCCAAATACATTTGAACTCACAGACCCAGAATTGCAGACATAGGAGAGCATCTCAGAATAGGCATAGTTTTGTCAGCATAAATCATTCCCACACTGGTAAGTGGGCAGAGATGCAATCTTTTTTTTTTTTTTTAATTTGTCAGAGAGAGAGAGAGAGAGAGAGAGAGAGAGAGAGTGGCAGGCAGAGGGAGAAGCAGGCTCCCCAGCAAGCAAGGAGCCCAACACAGGGCTCAATCCCTGGACCCAGGGATCATGACCTGAGCCAAAGGCAGATGATTAACCCCTGAGCCACCCAGGTGTCTCTCTGACAAGGATTCTAGACATGGTGGTCAAAAAATTGAGAAATTAGGGACACCTGGGTGGCTCAGTGGGTTGAGCCTCTGCCTTTGGCTCAGGTCATAATCCCAGAGTCCTGGGATCCAGTCCTGCGTGGGGCTCTCTGCTCAGCGGGGAGCCTGCTTCTCCCTCTCCCTCTCTCTGCCTGCCTCTCTGCCTGCTTGTTATCTCTCTCTGTCAAATGAATAAATAAAATCTTTAAAAAAATTAAGAAATTGACAATGGAGAAAAATAAAGTTGTGCCAAATTTATTGGAGTCAATTGCTCTATATTTGAAGCTTCTGTCTCCTTAGGCTTTTCCTCCTAAAGGAGTCTGACTCACTCCTGCTATGACACCCGGGACTGCTGAGTAAGTGGGGGTTAGGACTCTACATATGTAAATTGGTCAAATTTAAAACAATTGTGGCTTCTCTGTAATAACTTTTCCCTGAAATAATGGAGAAAAAGGCAAAAGTGTGGTACTGTGGGAGAAAACATGCCCAGAAGGACATGTTGTCTGGGAATTTCTTTCTAAGGCAAGTATGATTCATGGAGGAGATACACGAAGGCCAGGCAGCCAAGGATTGGTTGGTAACTTGAGTCTCCACGTTTGAAGGGTATTAAGTTTAATTCCCCCAGCCTGGTGTGTGTTACAAGTATCACATAAATAAAATCTGCTCTTGAGATTGCTTAACTGGATTTTCCCAGCACTCTACTTTTTCCACTTCTTTTCCAACAAGCTTTGCCCAAGCCTTTAAAAGAATTTTTTGTTTCCCTTTTCCCCTGCTTCTAAAGCACGTTGGCTTTGTTTAATAAGCAGAAGACTCTTAGGAAGTCCCGCTGTTAGGCAAGATTTTACTTCATAAATTTACTTTCTCAGGGACGAAATTTTCCCTCTTCTGTTATTAATCTACAAAAGTAGAATGCCACATGTAATCAAAATTTTTCCAAATGGCATGAGTAAGGGAGTTTTTCTTGTGCCTGTTGCAAAGCAAGTAGTTGGCAGGCTCTAGAACGTGAGCCGCACGGACTGACCTACAGAGGGAGTTGACAAATACAACATGAGAAAGAAAACTGATGATGGCCTCAAAGTCTAGTTCCAAAGTGGGGTGCGGGGGGGGGGGCAATCATGTTTACAGTGCAGTTTACTCATGACGAAAAAAAGGATTCTGTTCTGTGGGTTCATGTTTCCATAAATGTTGTCTATTTTCTTTTCTCACCATTGACACACGCAGTCTAAAATCACCTGCTAAATGCCAACTTCACGGCATCTGAGATCAGGGACAGGAATATATTCCAAGCTCCACAAGGCCGGGAACCATGTCAGTCTCGTTTACCTGTGTACCGCACACCTGTCGGCACCTAGAAGGTGCTCAACCAATAAGAACCAAACAAATTCGAGAGGAAAAGATGTAGAAATTCCATCTTGGGGACAAATGGCATGTGAAAGTAGAACTGGTGTTTGTCCTTTGGTAAATGGTGTGATGAAAAATCCCTAAGAGATGGAATTCATGTATAAATGCTATCTTCTGTATATTGACATTTTTATAACTTGACTCAATGTATTCATTCCGCAAATATTTATCGAGTGTCCATTCTTGCCAGGCATTTCTCTAAGTGCTTGAGATACAATACTCTACTGTATTATTCCATACTAGGCCAACTGGAAATAAAGTAATTAGTTGGCAGGAAAAAATAAAGCAAATTAAATGAAAGATATAGAGCTGGGGGTGGTGAGAGCAGCTATTTTAAGTGGCATTGTCAATGAAGGCCTCTCTGAGGTGAGAACTGAGGAGACTGGAAGGAAGCGTGGCAGTGAGAAAGACATTTGGAATGCTCTTCCAGTCAGAAGGATGTGAGAACATCAGCCTTGAGGTGAAAAAGGTCTTGTAATTCTCGAGAAGCAATAGCAAGAAGGTGGTGTGACTGAGCATGGGAAGGCAAGGGTAGGAATACTAGAAATCCTCTATTTTGCTTAAGAAATGAAGCTAGAAAGGTAACTAAAGCCCAAATTACACATGGCTCTGAAGGCTACTGTTAAGATTTGGAAATTTTACTCTGTCTTAGGAAGCATCAGGGAGCTGAGCAGGAGTGACACAATGGGACTGACTTGGCAAATGGCCGTCTAACTGCCGTGCAGAGTGCAGAGGTAGAGAATCAGGGTGGAGGCCAGGAGGCCAGCTGGGAGGTCTCCCACAGAGCCCCAGGGCCGTCGGTAGCATGGCTGAGGGAGGCCGTGGAGGTAGTGAGAAATGGATTACAATGAGAGCATATTGAAGAGAGTAAGAAATTTGGCCCAAATCACTGGGCAAATGGCACCATTTCTAGAGACTGGAAAAGGCTGAGGAAAGAACAGGTTTGACAAGGAGGAAGCAGAAGTCAAGGATTTGGTTTTAGACATTAAAGTTGAGATGCCTTTTAAATATCCACGTGGAGATACCAAGTCGGCAGTTGGTCATGTAGGTGTGGTGCTCAGAGAAGAAGTTGAAGCTGGGTGTAAGGACTTGGAAATAGACCGCACAACTCCGGAGGGGAAGTGCCTCTTGTACCTCTGACCTTTTCCACCTGCTCCACAGACTATGGCCTCAGGGCCCGTTATGCAGTTAAACATCCACCACATTCAGAATCACCCTGAAAGCAGGACACCACCAAGAGCCACAGCCCAGGGGCAAGATACCACATGTGCTTCCTATCCTGGGAGACAAAGGAAGTAGGGTAAGTCCCCTTGTACTCTTTACCTCAGGCTGTCCACCCGTAAAGGGACAGTATCATACACTTCTAGGTTCTCCCTGAAGAGGAGGGAGAAGATACAGTACACGTGACAGTGAAGAGTTGTCCACACCTGGAAGAACTCTATGGCGGGAACCCAGGGCAGGGAGACTTGCCTGCGCTTAGGTGATCAGGTTCTAGAAAGCAGGCTCTGTGTTCTGACTATCATCTTCTGTGGAACTTGGTACAATTTCACTCAATCACTGTTGACTTGCTATCTTCTCTTGAAGCGCGAACACTTGAGTCACTGAGAGCAAGCTGACGCAACATGCCAGGTAATTCACAAATGCTTTGTGAGATAAGGCCTCAAATCTGGCCCCTCTCCTATCAGCTCTCTGCCACTTTGAGAGAGATCTAGAAAATCATGTCACTCCCTTGGCCTTGAGGACATCCCACGGCCTTGAGGATAAAGTCTGAACTTAGCATGGCTCGTAAAACTCCATAGGATCTGATCCTTCCCTCCCAATCTGGCTTTGTCTGTGACCGCTTTTTCTTAATATACACCAGGCTCCAGGTGTTAATGCTTTCCCTAACCAGCTTTCAGGGAAATGTTCTTTTGTGGTGTGTCCCCTTAAAATGGCCCTCGCTGCCTTGTCTACCTAGAGAACTTCTACTGATTCCTCAAAGTCCCAGTCAAGATCTTCTCTGTAAAGAATTCCTAAGCCCATGCAAGCAAAAATCTCTCCTTCATTTGAAACAACACTGTACTTAATTTCTCCATGAGAATGCTAACACACAATATGGCAATTACTTACAGAAAGTACATCCCCTGGACTAGATTGTGGGCTCCTTTGAGAGAAGAGCTGAGAGGCCATCATCTCTGTGTTCTCTGTACCTGACACATGGTGAGGTGAGCAGCAGAAACTTAATACATCTTGGCTAAATGAAGTGAATAACGAAGACTGTCCTTCTAAGAATAAAGATGGCAACTCACTAAACAGCAGAAAAAAACATGGTGACCCAGCCAAAGGCAACAAGATACATGCTAGGGCTTGATGATGCTATGCCAGTCAGGAACGTGAATTAATATGAACCAATGTCAGGCTATTGGGAACATAATTTGTATCCCTCTCTTTTTAGGGGCCTTGTCCTAGATTCATATTTGAGTTCCCACAGGCTTTCTGAGGAGGCTGAACTCATGGAGACGCGGCTTAGCCTTAGCCAATCCCATAGTGGTCTCTGTCCACGGGATTCCTGGAAGGTAGAGGGCACAGCTTCTTATGGGAGTTAGTACATCTGGATGTCTAGGATATGTCCAGAATGCATCCGAATGACCCCTGGGTCTGCAAATAACACCCTGGGTATAGGCATGACTCAGCCCTGCGGATCTTAAGTGATCTTAACCTGGTCAGGTTGCAGCATATAACCCTGAGGGTCTATAGGCCGTCAGATTGTACGGCAACATTTAGGGAATGTCCATGACCTTGAGACACATCATTTGCTTGAGTAATGCTCTTACCTGCCCCTTCAATTCTGGCTCCCGGAAAGGGAGCCACCGCATGTCACACATGGTAGTAACAGGGCCGGTAGGTCAGGGTAACGAGCATCCCACTCATGCTGGCAGTTTCTAGCCAGGATCTTGGCAATGACCGTGGACTCACCTGGATCAGCTGAGCTGCGCTTTCTGGGCTGCCGTACCGAAGGTCGTGTCCGTTGATGGCTAACACTCGATCGTTCTCTTCCAGCTGTCCGTGTCGGTCTGCCACACCACCGTTCAACACGTTGAAGATGAACACCCCAGGCTCATCCACCCTGCGCACCAGTTTTATTCCAAGCTGCTCCTCGGGGCTGCTTTTGTTGAGAATCACGTGGAAATTGTCATCGCGGGGACCGTAGGCGTCCAGTGCCTGTCCGCCGCTCCTGCTTTGGAACTTCTGCTCCCGCAGCACAGTGAGACGCAGCACCTGGCACGGCTGCCGCAGGAGGCGCAGCGCGTAGTTGTGAGGCACGTTGCTGATGTCCATCCCGTTGACCTGGATGGGGCGGGGGGTGGGGGGCATCGGATGCTAGAGCGGATCAGCCAGCTCCGCCCGCCACAACCCTTCCCAGAAGGTCCAAGCCCACAGCATCAGCAGCACCATTCCTTAAACACTGCTCTGGTCTGTCACCTCCTCTGTCCCCATCTCCAGGTAACCCCACCTCCCGACATTCCTTCTAGCCTTGCTTTCCTTTTGTTACCCGCACTACCCTTGCAGCTCTCCCCGTGGATGCCGTCTCTCTTCAACCTGTCCCTGCATAGGCTCCCAGATTTATTTCCACAGTCCCAGCCCCCACTCCTGGTGCTTGCCAAAATCAGTGTTCAGCAGAAGGGGGAGTGTGGGGGGTGGGCGGGGAGTAGAAAAAAAGGAAGAAAAGGTAGGAAAAGGCAAAAGAAGAAAATGTCCCATTTAAGTTCACATGATTGCATTAAACTGCTGTTGAGATTAAGATGAGCTGACAGCATCCTTCCAATAGTCCCCAGATGAGTCTTACTCCCTGGGTCATCCATCCTGCAATTTCCAGGGCCCAGTAGAGCGCGTGCACGTGCATGTGCGTGCGCGTGCATGTGTGTGGTTTTCAAGGCAATTGCTGCCTCTGACATCTTTTGCCCATGGTCTCAACAAAGGGAAAAAAAATTTCTGCATAGTTTCAAACGAACTGGTGTGAATGAGTTTCTAGGCTCTCTGACTGCAAGGCTGGATCCCTTTAGCCTACTTAAAGGTCCTCAAGCTCGGCGCGCTCATTTGTGCCTCATTAATTATCTGCAGAGCTGATGCTGCAGGGGGCTTTCTGGTTTTCATTACCCAGCCGGGAGGCTAGAGCCCCTAGTGACAGTCACTGCTTTGCAAGAAAGCGATTTCACAGCAACGCCATGCTCTGCGCAGGGTCGAAGGACAGTGGCCCGGTAGAGGAGAGACAATCTGCTTGGATTTCTATGGTTGGGTAGGATTTCTTGTACCTGTACTTGCAGCCAATTGCTAAATGTGGCTCAGGGTGAAATCTTAAGAGGTCTTCCTGCAGCCCAACATCCTGGGCTTTTGCTGCCTGCCAAGGAAGGATGGAGGCTCTGGTGCACAGAGCAGTTCACCGCCCTTGTCCACACCCAGGGGAGCTCACAGCCCTCGTTCTGCTCTGTCACTGATCCTTGCATCTGGTTTCTCCCCTCGTACCCAGGCCAGGAGAAGGCCAGGGGTGTCTGCTAGACCGTCCTAGCAGCCCTTTGCCTGCAAAGGCCACTTGGAGGCCCAAACAATCAAAATGGCTTGTTATGCAACCCTCCCGGGTGGGACAGCTCCTTCCCTCTGGAGGGGAAGCCACGCAGAGAGTCACTGAGGCCACCGCGGATGCTCTCTGGAGCTCAACAGGCCCTGCCTTATACTCCACCTCGGAGGCCAGTGGGAGTTTCAGGATGGTTAGGACAACTGCTTTAAATTCTTTCTCCTCTTATTCCAAAAAAAAGAAGAATTTCTTCGTCAGAGAAAGAGCATATGATGCGTCAGGAGCTGGCCCCTCAACCACTTAGAAGGAACAGGATGAAGCTCTCCTCTGGGCATCAGACAGGGAACGTAGGGCCAGGGAGGGATTTCTTGTCACTCTCGTCACATGTCTGACTTCTGTCTGATCAACAATTCTCCTTTCCTCCTTTCTCTTCTCCTCAAAATTCTGCCCAAATGTCCTTCTTCACACCTAAACCTCAGAGGACAGAAATGCCCAAGGCATGCTGTTCCACCAACCTGCCTGCCCCGTTATGTCCGTGGCTTGGTGGGAAGAACTTACGATTACTTTTTGGTTTTTCTCACGGAGGGCCCTTAAGCCACTGGACGTTTACTATGGAGGGGTGTGTGAATTGGGCTGACTAGGTAAAATACAGAATGTTCCATTAATCTGCTCTAAAAACAACATAAGAAGATCTATGCTCCAGTTTTCTATTATTTTACGTTATTGTTACTTAAAGTAGAAGGAGGGGGTAGAAAGAAGGAGAGAGGAAGAGAAGAGGGAGGAGGAGAGAGGAGAGCGGGGACAGGAGCTGGAGGGGAGATGAGAAAGGAGGGAAGGACAGACAAAATGATACCGAGACAGAAATACTCTTCTACAGAAAGAGGGAGAGGTCAGAAGAACAAGACAGACAGAAGGGCCAAAGACCTATCTCAATTAAATCACAAGTCTCTGACGAAGAGTCCTCCCACCGTAGCAACTATGGAAAGGGACCGCTTCACATTTATTCAGCATTTCCACCATCCATCCACTGACTGGCTCTTAAGGGGTTTTTATTAAGCCCGTTTTCATGGCCCCACAGCGACAGCGTCTACCTTTAGGATGATGTCTCCTGGCAGTAGCCGGCCATCCCTGGCAATCACTCCGTCACGGTAAATGTGCTGGATAATGATGTGGACCAGCGGGGTTTCGCTGCCTCCCACAAGTCTAATGGAGAGGCTTTCATTAGGATCCACTCGATTGATCTTGACACTAGTAATTTCACCATCTGGAATCAGGTGATACAACCTTGGAAAGACTAAAATGGACAAAGACAGTGTTTATTTAAGACACCCACCCAACGGACATTTCCAGCCATTCTTCTTCTTGCCAAACTTTGACTTCAGCCAAACCAAACTATTCATCATTCCACGTACATGTTTTCCATTTTCCTGCTTCTGTGCCAGCATCAGTTTCTCTGCCTGGAATATTTTTCATTCTAGGCCTAGACCCAATTTTTCCTTCAAGACTTGCATAAAATGATCCCTTTCAATTAAACTCTACCCTGATCCCTCTCTCTCCCTGCTCTGTCTAAACATCTCAATTCCCACCCCCACCCCCCACCGCCAAAGCTTCCATTGCTCCCAGCACTGAGCCTTCCGTTATCATCCACGTTCACTTCTGGACTCTGAGATCTTGGAGGACATCATTTATGACTGTCCTGTGGCTGGGTGCACAGACCACAAGTGTCGGGTCAGCCCAAGCCTCCTGAGGGTAGAGCAGTGAAGGAGTACGAAGGGTCGTTATAGAAGAGACTACAGTTTCAGCACCTACTTCAACCTTCTCAGGCCATTTTGAAGATTTCTCCCTGGAAGTCCCTGCTTTTTCAGGCTTAGGGAATTCCCAGGCCTCTCTCTCAGACACTTGTCAATAAAGGGAAGTCACACAGCCTGCTTGGTAACCAAGGAGAGGTGGTGGCTTCCAGAAGCTTCTCCCTGATCTGGCCGCATTGCTAACTTCAGAGCTCACAGGAGATCCGGGGGTCTAGGTGGGTGTCTCAGACTTTACCTTTTAACTGGAGACTCTTCTTTGCACATGAACTCTTTCACGGGTCCCTTCCCCACCAACCCCTACTCTACCCATGTGCCCACATGCAGAAGAGCTTCCTTAGTTGTGCGGTTTGATAGCGACAGAGACTGTTGAGTGGCTTTCTGTTACACGCGAGGTGGTTTGAGCTTAGAGTGGGGAAGTGACAGGATTGGCTGGGGTCACAAAGTAAGACTGCTCTCAGGGCCAGTCACAGCCTGGGACTCCAGGTGACCTGCCATCCTATCACCTTCTTCGGGTTTCTCTGAAACCAGGGGTTCACAAAAGTCCCACAGGGGACTTGCCCTAGACACCTATAAGCCAGCAATGCCGGCTGGAGCCATCCTCTGCCTCAGTCTGAGTAGAAGTGTGCAGAAGGGACGCTATGACAGGCCAAGCAAGCTACACCTAGTTTGATGGCAACAGCAGCTCCCACCCCCTCCCTTGCTTGAGTGTGGATGTGGAGGGTGGAGATGTTTTCGTCTCCTGTAGCTGCTGACAGCTGCCTTTGCCCTAAGATTCTCTCTTCATTAAGTCATCTGGGAAGAGGAAAACTGCAGGTCTGGCTCTGCCTAACGCGCTCTGTTTTCAAAACCCATGACCTTAGTCCATTTTCCCTAATGAACTATGAGTTCATTAAGAACTGCTCAACTCTCCAGGAACAATACAGAAAGAATTAAAATTACTTCAAAGTATTGCAGAACATGATAAACAAAGCAATTTAGGAGCCAGAGGAAGCCCGAGCCTTTGCAAATGTGGGTCCTTAACCTCCACTGGGATGTAATTTAACGTAAGCGATTGGCTTTGCTGTAAGGCTGTGGGCAGCAGCCTTAATCTGTCAGTTCCTGGTGCGAACAGCACTTGGGTGATTGAGTTCAATTAATGTTTAAACTACTTTGATTGCATTAAGTAGGCGTTACCATAAGCATTTGTTGGAACAGGTCCCATGACAGGGAATGGTGACTTAAAAAAAATCACTTTGAACAAAGAAAGATTTAGATATAATCAAAGCTGCTGGTTCTTGCTCTCCTCCCTCTGCCTGTCTACCCCCTCCCCCACCAACAGATTTACAATAACCATCCTCCCAAACCAAAGCTACTCAGGGTATTCTATTTGAGAGTCTGAAAGGACACACCCAGTTGCATTGGTATGCAATGTTAACTAGAACCATGCCAAAGAGACCATAGTGACCTTGAAGAGTTAAACTTTGGGGGTGCTTTGGGGGCTCTGTCAGTTGGGCAGCCCACTTTTGATTTGGGTTGAGGTTGTGATCTCAGGGTCGTGGGATGGAGCCCTGAGGCAGGCTCTGTGCTCAGCAGGGTGTCTCCTTGGGATTCTCTTTCTTCCTCTCCCTCTTCCCCCAGTGCACCACACACACACACACACACACACACACACTCTCTCTCTCTCTCTCTCTCTCTCTCTCTCTCTCACATATAAAAAAAAAAAAAAAAAAAAATTTTTTTTTTTTTTTTTAGCTGCCAAACTTGCACTGGTCTGGAATAAAACATAGTTGTTCAATATTCTGTCCTTACGGAAGGACTAAGGATAAGATCTTATTTACTGAGTGTTTGTTACGTGCCAGGCATTGAGCTAGCCAGTTGCATGTGTATTTTTGGGGTTTAGTTCTTAAAACAACCCTATGAAGTAGATTCTTATTATCCCTGCTTCTTAGAGGACAGAATGCTGGAGCTCAGAGAAGTTAAGTAACCTGGCCAGGGTCACACAGCCAATCAACAGTGGAGCCTCTTTATCCTTGTAAAAAGGATGGATAAACTATGCCATGAGAGTTCATGGGACCAACCACAGGCTGCTGAAGTAATGAAACTTGGCCATTTTTGAAAGCTTCGTTGCCTCGCAAATCCTGAAAAGACCATCATGACCAGCCTTGCCAGGTCTTAACACCTCACCCCATTCTGGAGTCACAGCTTCCTGGAGCAACTGAAGAAATCCATTCTCTCCCACTCTAAGCCACCTGCACACTTAACACAGCGGCCATCTTTCTGGAACATAGCATGGATCCTGTAGTAACACTCCACAAAACCCTGAGTCAAGACTCCCAGATGCCGTCCAGGACCCTTCTAATCTAGCCTTAGCCTCATCTCCCATTACTTTCTAACAGAGTCAAGATCCCAGTGCCCCCCCAGGTCATAAACCGCCCCACAGACACGGGTTACACTGCCTGCTGGGAAGTGATGCTCCTTGCCCTGGGGCTGCCGCTGCCATTTATTTATAGCTCACTCTTCATGGTATTTTATCCTCTTTTAGTCATGAATGAGCCTCTTGAAGCCAGGAACTGGATTTGATCATCTTTATATAAAATTATAAAGCCTAGGCCAGTAATTTCCACACAGTCATCTCTTACTAAAAAGGTTTCTGGAAGAAACAGGCAAATAAATCTTATGCGGGCAAAAGCAAACTTTATATGGAGGAAAATTCAGGACCCTTTCATAAGAGGGAGGACTGGCAGAAAGGAAGTTGTAATCCCATGTTCACGACACATTTAGGGAACAACTGTACCTACCAGATATGATGCTCCACCTTGAGGATGCAGACTCACAAAAGAACCTCTGCTCTTACAGAGGCAGTGACAGTGAAAAGTGACACCTGCTATAATAAAGATGGAGGGGCTTCGAGAGCACAAAGGTAAGAGGACTGAGGGAGTCAGGGAGGGCTTCTAGGAGGAGGCCAAACCTATGCGGCTCCTGGAAGGAGGAATGAGAGTGGCAGCTGAAGGGGTGTGGGAGTGAAAGTTGAACAACAACCTGGAAGGGAGAGAGACAGAGAGACAGTATTCACAGGACTGTAATGAGCTCAGAGTGGTGAGGGCATGTAGGGTGTGTATGCGTGAGCAGAGAAGAGTGGTGACAAGTAAGCAAGGGGGATTTTCTAGGACTGCTCATGGAGTCTCTGAAGGCATGATAAAGACAGTGGTTTGGGATCTACCTCTCAAACCCCTAGGAGGGGAGGATGCTTAACCCAGTGGTTACCAGAGTGGGCTCTGGAGCTGGAAAACCTGAGCTAAAGTCCTAGGTCTGTCATTTTCTAGCTGGGTGACTTTGGCCGAGTTACTCTCTGGGTCCCCTTTCTTCAGCTATAAAATGAAAATCATCATCATCCCTATCCCTTAGCATTGTGACATCTAAATGGCTTAGGACAAAAACCACCTGGAACACAAGAAAGCTCCATTTTTTCTAAAGCTATTGTTACTGCTCTGAAGTTCTAACATAAGATAAAAAGATGCAGATGTAGTGAAAAGAAGGGGTCTGTGTACCCCAATGTTCATAGCAGCAATGTCCACAGTTGCCAAATTGTGGAAAGAGCTGAGATGCCCTTCAACAGATGAATGAATAAATATGTGGTCTATATACACAATGGAATATTACACAGCCATCAGAAAGGATGAATATCCAACTTTTGCATCAACATGGATGGGACTGGAAGAGATTATGCTGAGTGAAATAAGTCAAGCAGAGAAAGTCAATTATCATATGATTTCACTTACTTGTGGAACATAAGGAACAACATGGAGGACATTAGGAGAAGGAAAGGGGAAGTGGCGGGGGGAACTGGAGCGGGAGACGAAGCATGAGAGTCTGTGGACTCTGAGGGTTTTGGAGGGGAGGGGCATGGGGGGATGGATGATCCTGGTGGTGGGTATTAAGGAGGGCACGGATTGCATGGAGCACTGATGTTATACATAAACAATGAATCATGGAACACTACATGAAAAACTAACAATGTACTGTATGGTGACTAACATAACACAATTTAAAAAAAAGGTATTTCCCAGCTGCATTTATAAACACATAAGATCTAAGATCCAACAGAGCCCAGATTCTAGAGCCACATTACTGGAATTCAAAATCAGGCAAAGTAATTTGGGGCAAAGCTAAGTAATCTCCCGGGCCCCGATGTTCTTATCTGTAAAAGAGGGATAATAGTAGTAGTCACTTCATAGGTTCATCGTGAGCATTAAATAAGTTAATGCATGAGAAGCACACTCAGAACCACACATTATGCATAGTCGTACGAAGAAAGAAATACTTACATAGCATTTACTGCATGCCAGCCATGTTCTAAACGCTTTTCACTTAATTATTATTATCTCTAACTGTGTTAAGCTAGTACCTGAAGGTAAGGGCTCCAAAACCTATTTGCTCAACCTCTGTGGAAAGAGAACAATCATTTCTGTCTTTAGTTACTTGTGTAACAAGTAGGCTGATCAAGGTAAAAAATATTTTATGCCCTTGTGAAGAGAGGTGTCTTAGAAAGTGGATGGTAGTCTGGTTGTCATCATTCCTGAGGTCATCCTGGAAGCCCAGCCCATGTCCAGACTCATGGGGAGGTCGCCTACCTTCAGGGGCAGTGGTGTCTTCAGAATCTTCTCTGCCCTGGTCTGCTTGGTTGGCAACAGCACTCCCACTCTTTGTCCTTCGAAGAACACTCAAGGCTCGGTTTATTTTTTTAAAAGACCTGCTTCTGATAGTTGATCGCTCAAAGGTCCGTGCTGAGGACAAGAGAGAAGGAAGAAATAGTAGATGAGGGGCGCCTGGGTGGCTCAGTGGGTTAAAGCCTCTGCCTTCGGCTCAGGTCATGGTCCCAGGGTCCTGGGATGGAGCCCCATATCGGGCTCTCTGCTCAGCGGGGAGCCTGCTTCCTCCTCTCTCTCTGCCTGCCACTCTGCCTGCTTGTGAGCTCTGTCTGTCAAAAAAATAAAATCTTAAAAAAAAAAAAAGAAATAGTAGATGCACATTCACAGAAATCCTCTGTATGTGCATGTCTAGTCAGATATATACAATAACACAGGAGCAGTGATTACTTCTCGGAGATAGGATGATGAGATTTGCTTCTCTGTTTTGTCTCCATTTTCTACAATGAAATATATATGGTTTAAAAACTTGCTTTTCTTTTTTGCTGGGCTGGACTGAAGGTAGCAGCACTTTTCTTGAGCAGCATGGATGGGAAGGTGCTGACACTATGGGGTGGTGAATCATCAGGCCCAACTTGGCCCCATCCACCAAGTTCGATTACACATTTTTAATGATCTGAGGTACTTGTGGTTTCATTTCACTTTGCACAATTGGACATTGGATGGCTGCCGAAACTACCAGAATGATTTTCCCTTTAAAAAAAAAATAAAACATTTCTAGAACTTTCTACAGTAAATATTCCACAGAGGGCAATCTCAAGGCAAGAAGCCCATTCCCAGACAACCACCCACTTGACTCACCCCTCATTCGGTTGCTCCGGCCAGAGTCCAGTGGGCTGTCTGCTGGCTGACCATCCTCCGTTGTGGACACGTAGGCAGGGTTGTCTAAGCCAGGCTCATTGGTCACCAAGGAGATGGTGGCAGCTTCAGAGACTTCTGGGGAGAGCGCTGTTGACGTGAGGCTCACACAGCCGTCTGGGCAGCCATCTTGAGAGCGCCTCTTCTTGTCTTTGGTCAGGCCATAGTGGGAAGCACCTTTACAGCTGTTAAAAAAACAAACAAACAAACAAACAAACAAAAAACAACCAGTGGGAGGTCAGAAAAGGCTTTGGCTTTGCTCATTGTTCAGCCCAGCTTCTTCAAGTACTCATGCTTGCTGCACTGGGAACGGGAGTTGTTTGCTCCAAGTCCCGCCCTCCCTCTATTCCATGTAGGGGCTCAATATACACTCACTAACTAAATGATTTAGTGATTCGAGGAAACAATTTAAAAAAAAAATGCTTTCTGCATTCTCTTAAAGCACTCTCTACACTGGCCTCTGGCATGCAAATTTATACAGTCCTCATGGTGTCTACAAGACTAGAGCTTGAGACAGGCAGTTCTCAACTGTTTGGACTTCGTAACTCCCTCTCATTGGTGTTTATTTTGACCACAAGAGCCCTTAGTAACACTTGGTTCTTTCTTTTGGGTTTGGTTCCCAAAGCACTGAACATAGATACAAAGCTCCTCCCAGATTCCATATTTAACTGTCTGTGGAGACAGAATCGCCATCACCACAAAGCCACAGGGGCTACTTGGCGTCGGCATTCTCTAGAGGCAAGCTTGCTGGCTTCCATGTTTCACCTCTGGGCTGCTGGCCGGAACCAGGGGCCGGGGACTCCTGTGCACTGAAGTCCCATTCATTGTCATGTCTTCTAACATTGGGAAAGTAAAACTACATTCATGGTCTATAAAAAGAAAACCATAATTTTTTAATAACCATTCACTCTCCATGCTGAGGAGCCAATCCGAGGGCCAAGAGGCCAAGGTATAAGCTGATCTAGGTCCATATTTTGCTGTGACTGTCTGTCTATGTGTCACTGAGAGAGTCATTTCAGCTCTTAGGTAGGGTTTTGGTCAGAAGGTGGAGATGAGTTGACGATCTCATACTGCGGTGAGCAAGCAGCTGCAGATGGCCCCAGCAGCGCCCACAGTTGTTGTGAATGCAGAAATCATGGGGGTGAGCCCCTTTAACAAATGGCCATTTGCTTATAATGGATGATAATTATTTTTATCAATTCATTATAGAAAATCTTATGTGGTTCAGCTATTTTAAATAACCCTCTGAAAGTCTATTTGGAGAGATGCTTCACATTCTTGAAAGTAAAAGGAATCCAATGGCCATCTATAGTTGATATGCACCCAATTTACATGGCCTGTAGAAACTCAGAGCTGGTGGACAGGATGGATTATTGTCTGGATCAGATTCCTCGCTCTGATTGGCCCGTGTAGTCTCGGGCAATTTTGTTAACGTGGTTAAACTTTCTAACCTACACATACATTTGGGGCTGCTGTGAGTTCAGGTCGATATTAAGTCAGGATTTTTAGTACCCTGACGGAGATACAGTAAGTCATCAGGAGACTGTAGTTACTTCTATTTCTGGGATGCTGGTTTGTTCACACTCTTAACATCTCTGAGATGAGAATGCACGGGTGGTGGAGGGAGTCAGGCAGCTTCTACTGCCAAGCTGCCATCATGATGCAGATGGCGTTATCTGAGCAGGACAAACACAGTCACTGGGGCCATCTTGTAACTTTCATTGAGTTGCGTCCATTCTTGATACTCTGCCATGGAATTTCATTGCCATTCAATGTCTTAGAAAAAGGTTTACATTATGATTCAGCACTGCGGTGAAAAGTCACTGTATATATTAAAAGCCTCAAAAACAGAGGAGCGGGATGTAAGTTTGAGTTTGATGAAGTGAATATTCATTGTTAGGAGGATGACAGCAATTCCATATTTTCTGGCGAAGAACAAGCAAATGCTTTATTTGCTTAGAAAGTAAGATTCCCCCAAGGAGATAAAAAGCAGCGTTATATTTCGTTACTGAGATCATTCAAAAGGACTGGACTATTTCATGCCAAACAATACAACTAGAGGGCAGGAGAGGTCACCAAATTTGTCTGAATGGATTTCAAATCCGTAGGAGTCTGATGCGACCAGTCCGCACGCTGCAGGGAAATCTTTAAAGGTGCTTTGGAATAATGTAACCAGTGGCAATATTTAAAACGGTTGGCACATAAAATATGTGTTGTATGATCAATGGCATCTTAGATTTGATGAGATGTGGTTTTAATATTAGTAGAAAAGGATTTTGATTATACAATCCTATACCCTTAGCTTATAGAAGATGAAAACAGGCCTCCCATTGTTAATGCTAGTCTTTCCCTCACCAAAAGAATTCAAGCTGCTGGCTTGAATTGGTAAGGTTTTACTGTTCTGATTAGCTACTTTGGCTGGAAATTGTTCTGCTTAAAAATAGCAAAGTGGTTGATATGGGAAACTAAAAAATTGGAAGAACTGCTGTGTGATGGAAAAAATAAAAGCCAGCATGCGTTTGAACAGCTCCAAAGTCATAAATACATGAGTGGAACACTTCCACACAAGCCAGCAATATTTGGTTAGCAACGCATGGGAAGGAAGTTCCTAGACTATTTAGTTGGACTGGAAACAGGCTTTCTCTTCTTGGGGAAGCAATGCCCTTGACCATGTGCCCTGCCAGAGCAGGAAATGAATTTTCCAGTTGGACAAATGGCTAGTAAGGGCACAAGCCATAGCTTCCTGGGAGGATATAGCATACCCCGGTGGAACAAAGGGAAATCTTATTTGCTGCTGTATCTATGTGGAGGATTTAAGGTATTTAAAATATCAGACGCTGAAGACCATGCCATTAAGAAACCATTGCTGTTCCAAGTTCTTGGGGTTCCAGAGTCACTTTTTTTTAGTCTAGGAAAGGAAAAACTATATAAAGAAGGTAAGAAACCTTCCCTTTGGCCTCTTATCATAGCTATCCTTACAACGGCCAGGGGGGTACAGAATCTAGATTTAAACATTCAGAATCGTATGCCTTGTATAAAACAATGTTCTGCTAAAGCAACTCATAATTGTGTGATGTTGCCTGTTCCAGTTTCTTGGCTTAGCTTGAATCCAAGACACGGAATGATCTATGAAGGTAGCAGCTTGTACTCACTAATTATCTCTTTCGTGGTGACTAATTCTGAGGCCTCTTGATTTATAAGCACAAAAGAGGGGAGGAGTGGGGAAGAGCTGATTAGCATTGGCCAGTACAGGAACATACAGTGAACCCTGGGCTGTGTTCAAAGCAAGCAGGATTTATTCTCCCTTTTAGTTATCCCTAGCACTAAGTACTCTCAGGTGGTGATGGGTGATGGCCATGAACTTGAATGATGAACACAAGGAACATAAAAAACCCATTTTTCAACCAAACTATGCACTTTGGTATACCATCTGTTCAACAAAGCAACTCTGAAAATGAATTTTTTTTTTTGTAATAATAGTGTTGGGATCCTGAGCTCCTATATCAAAGTTAGCAGAGGCAAATCAGTCTTAATATAGAAGTGGACAACGGATGTGCCATGGCATTTTTGTCCTTTTTTTTTTTTTTTTGTAAGGGAATGGGGAGCAAGAAGAGAAAATGAACCCCGTTCTTGCAAAAATTCCTGAGTCCATGAGTTTGCTACTAATGGAGTTGAGCTGAAGCATGATAGACCCCACATAATCCACAGAGGCTCTGATGAGGTGTCCTGCTGAATTCAGCCAACCAGGAAGCATGAGCTGTTTTGCAGTGGAGGGCTCCCTTTTGACAGTGACCTTAACCACTTCGGATAGAAGAGTATACATTGTCTGTAAGAAAGAGCCTCAATACCTCATCATAATAGTCTGGCTAACCACACAACCTCCCTTTGATCTAACTTCCCTCACATTCTTTCTCTCTTTGTTCACTTCTGAACTAGGTAAACATCAAGTCTGTCCTTCATATTGAGTTCATTATTTGCCTCGTCTGATCCTACTTTAAACCAAGTCTTAGAAGCTCATATGCTAGCGAAGTGAGGAATCGAGGATGAGGAGGCCAGGTGGGGACCATGGTGAGATGAGCTGCTCGAATTCAAGGCCCAGCAGCTGCTACAGACCTTCACTGGTCCTTGTCTCCAGAAGACCAGCCTAAGAGCAATTAGGTAAGAAAAAGAAATCAAATGCATCCACACTGGATAGGAAGAAGTACACTTGTCACTATTTGCAAATGACATGATATTATAGAAAACCCTAAAGATCCCACCAAAAGACTATTAGAACCAATCAATGAATTCAGTAAGGTTGCAGGATATAAAATCAATATACAAAGATCTGTTGTGTTTTTATATACTAACAATCTCTGATAATTAAGAAAGCAATTCCACTTATAATTGCATCAAAAGAAATAAAATACCTCAGAATAAATTTAACCAAAGAGGTGAAAGATCTGTACACTGACAACTGGAAGACATTGACAAAAGAAATTAGAGATGGTACAAATAAATGGAAAGATATCCTGTGCTTGTGGATTAGAAGAACTGGTATTATTGAAGTGTCCATAGTGCCTACAGCAATTCAGATTCAAGGCAATCCCTATCAAACTTCCAATGTTATTTTTCACAGAAATAGAATAACCTAAAATTTGTATGGAACCATAAGAGACTTCCAATAGCCAAAGCGATCTTCAGAAAGAACCAAGCTGTAGGCATTGCCTGATTTCAAACTATTTTACAAAGCCATAGCAATCAAAACATTATAATCTTGGCATAAAAACAGGCATATGGATTTATGGAACAGAATAGAGTCCAGAAATAAACCCATACATATATGGTCAATCAATTTATGACAGAAGTGGCAAGAATATGCAATAAGAAAAGGGCAGTCTTCAATAAATGGTGCTGGGAAAACTGGACAGCCACATGCAAAAGAATGAACCTCGAGCCCTGTTTCCCACCATATCCAAAAATTAGGTGAAAATGGATTAAAGACCTGCAACCCTACAACTCCTAGAAGAAAATACAAGCAGTAAGCTCCTTGCCATCGACCTTGGTGATCACTTTTTGGACCTGACACTGAAAGCAAAGACAACAAAGGCAAAAATCAACATGTGGGGTCACATGAAACTAACAAGCTTCTGCCCAGCACAGGAAACCATCAATGAAATGAAAAGGCAGACTACAAAACGGAAGA